GCTCACACACTGTAGAATGTTGCAACAGTCGGTCGGGTAACTACAAACAGTCCTGTCTCGGTTCTTGACTTCGAAGCTATTTGTTTTCATAAAGGTTTCCACATCCGCTCTTAGAAAATAGACTAGACACATGTCGTAAAAGGTTTGAAGTCATTCTTATATACAAGTACAGCCAGCCGTCCAATCCCGAAACTCCTCGAACGATCAAGCTTTCCATGTATGTCAACAACCAGGGGAGGTAACTCTAAATTCCACTCACTTGCTGCCATGGACAATTCCAAACTTTCAACAATATTTACAGCCACATATCAATATTCTTTACATCCGACTTGTTAAATCCGACGTTGTCTGTAGGTTAGGGATATAATCAGGGAGCGTGTTTACTATTTGATTAGATATGGTAACCATTCCACAAAGCGATCCTTGTGTTAGCCTGCGTTAATTTATGACGGAGGTAAAACACACATGTAGCGCTACCGTCGCTTTGTGACACAAGGCTCTGTCTTGCACTATCTCATTAAAATCACATATTTCACTCCGATTCGACACCTCTCTGTTCAATCTAATTAAATGAGATCTGGGAGAAGGTATCAAATCGGAATTAACAAACTACTGAAAAGGTTATAAAAGGTGTTTGCATATTACAGTCGGATATATCGAACCAAATCCTCAATCACCAGGAGTGGTGATCAACGTTATTACTGACATGAGGGGCGGTCGGGTAGCCTAGTGGTTAAAGCGTTCGCTCTTCACGCCGAAGACCCGGGTTCGATTCCCGATTGAAGCCCATTTCTGGTGTCCCCCGCCGTGATATTGCTGGAATATGGCTAAATTCGGCGTAAAACCATACTCAGTCACTCACTCACTATTACTCACATGAATACAGTTTTGGATATAACCAATTAATTTTAAGGTCTCAATGACTTCGTCACATCCGGAGTTGTTAATTGTAGAAAAGACGTCTTCTGTCAGAGGTCAAATTCCCCAATCTGTATACATCACGAATCCTTTTTATGATGTGCTAACCTATTTTTTCTGAAAAAAAGGTATAAATACCATGTACACGAAACACATATAGCCTTGTATACCATAACATTAACACATTGTGATCTATCGCGACCACGTGCTGACCTACCTTGGAATGAGTGACGGAATAAGCGACAGAGAGACTGAGACAGGGGTTGAGGTACGCTATCCACAAGGGTTTCTTTCTTGTAAGATTAGCATGCCGTCTCGGGTCGGAGGCAAGGCGCCGTATAGGCAGAGGGCATATAACCAGTTCCTCATGAAGCAAGGATGGTTGGCACTTTGGCGGGATGGATATGGGCTTCAGCAGAGAGTTTTTATCAATGTTATATATTCCCTGAGGCAACAAATTAGATAACAGCAGTCATATGCGGGGTTTTCATTAAAGTTAGAGAATGGACGGTTGACCACTGAAAAGGTAATAATAATAACAACAACAATAATAATAATGATGATAACAACAACAACAACAACAATAATAATAATAATAATAATAATAATACCCCGGTCCATGCAATTGACACAGGGAAAGGTTGGAGGGTTGGGGTTGGGACGCAAAATCTATCACAACTGCCATGAAAAAATGACACACTTCTAGTTTTTATAAAATATTAAAATATAAATTTGAACTTTATTAGAGACAGTTAATGCTTTACATGAAAGAATGTTCCTTTTAAGACCCCCCACCCCCACCACCAAAAAGAAACACATCTTGGTTGATTACTTTATTACGACGATCAAACAAAAAACATGCGCTTTGAGCATACCCAGGTGAGGATACCAGAGCGTTAAAAATGGACTTATTATCATATAGAAAGACTACTGACTTCGTGTAATCTTTTTGGTCTTCTCAAAGAACGCTCATAAACATGGTCCCTCCCGAATGTTATCTCCGAACAAAGATTGGCATTTAGTATATACTGAATGTTGAATGTCCGCGGCTTTATTGATGGTATAGGTGTGACTCACTCAGAACACACCGGTAAGGTCGAAACCTTACGGAAAGATTCGAGCGATGCCGGCTGTATTGTTGGTTTGACTAATCCCGATGGACGTACACCCCTTGATAAGGCTGATTAAAAACTACAGACAACGGTCGTGGGGTGATGCATGGTTTGGATATATCTTAGTCAGTGTTATAAACGTCCGCCTTAAACAATACGTTCAGGTTTACAATTAATGAAAAACATGCGTGCCCTGCACCACGTGACCGGAGAAAACAGCACGATAACATTTGGATTTGTTGAACCAATAGAAAAAGTGAAATATCAAGTGGATAATCGTATACCTCCACAGGCAAGACCCCCATCAATGTAGATTTAATGTCACAACAAAAAATACTGGTAATGGTGATGGTGGTGTTGTCGTTAAAGGGCGACGTGGGGAAACAGAGGGGGTATTTGTGCCCCAACACATTGACTTAACGTAATAAGAATCAGAAAGTATTATACATATTTTTTTCTAAATCGTTTAGAAAATAGAAAAGAGACGTCCTCATAAGTAATGTTCATTTGGATACACGTTTACATTGCACATCAAAATTAATGAAGGGAAAAGAAAAGAAAACAAAAGAAAAGCCTCTGCTTCATGATATGGATTAAAACCTTAGGCAGACACTTTCTTCCCTGAAACATGACATATTCTTTCAATACGAACGCAGACCAACATGATAGAATGTTAAAATGATTTACAATCATGGAACTAAATTTGTTTAAGCCATTTGAGAGTTTATCTAAATTACATAAAACATTACTGTCGCTGTGCAGAGTTGCGTCCCTTGTACTCGTGTCAGGATCTGCTGGTCGTGCGTTCGAACCACAGTTCATGAACCTTGATCAGTCCATAAATGTGTTCAACAAAATGGTAAATGTGTATGACCTGTAACATAACACTTGATCTTCCCTCCAACAGTAAGTTGAACTAGAACGAAGATATGTTTTCTTCTTAAAGTTTGGGTGTCGATTCCAAAACACAGTTTTCAATTTGCCTCAGAACCTCGTAATACAGGACATAATAAATAATCGTAATGTCAATATAAGAACTGTCTAGAATCTAAACCACATGGCCGTCTCTGTGGTCTGGAAGATAGAGTCTCTGCCCGGAAAGCGGGATGTCGGGGGTTCGATCCCCGGTCGCGTCATACCATTGGCCCCCTAACCACGCCTCTGTGGAACCAGTCACTGGGGGCTAAGCCTGGGCTGTAGGGTGTGTGATTTAACTGTTCGAACCCAGACTTAGCCCCCAGTGTCTGTTTCCTGTTCCGGCAAATTCAATCTGCCCAACGTGGAAGACGCTTCCAGGATGACGAGGACATAAAGGCTGCCACATAGGCGTGGTTAGAGGGCCAATCTGCGGATTTCTATAAAAGTGGTATTAAAAGCTTGAAGGACAAATAGAATAAGTGTATTGAGGTGAATGGAGATTAAATTGAAAAATAAAAGTGCAAAATATATTCTGCGACTTTGTCTTATATTGAAGTTGCAAAACTTATTGAACGCCCCTCGTAAGTGCTATAATCTAGAAAGCGGCGTGAACACCCATTTCACCTCACCTCACCTAAACCAGACAGTACGAGTGCGATGGTGTTAAAGCTGGGATACAGGTGGTGGTAATCAACCTATCTAGCGATATCTTCAGCTCTCCGTTCAAACGATTATGTAAATCATTTATTGTTAATACAACAGACCTTGTGTCACGTGCGAACCGGGGTCCGACAGGTCCCTAACTCAGTGACCTGGTTGTCCCCAGACGGCGTGGGGCGCGGAGCGCGGGGCGTGGGGCGTGGGGCGTGGGGCCTTGCTCTTTATATCAGTCTCTGGTTTTAGTCCCCTACGCCAAACAAATACCATTCTCCCCATTTGTTTTCAAGGGGATGTGTGTTCCTGGAGGTTACAGGCTGCCGCGGCATAGCTGGAATATTGGTGAGTGCGGCGTAAAACAACAAACACAATCTTCAAGATAGCAAAAGTAGTCCTTTGACAACGTCTGTAACACTGACTGTACGCTCATGGATGTGAACCACACAAAACCAAACATACTGTACGCTGTATGGACTATTTTAGGTTAGTTAGCCTGGTGGTTAACATACCGCCCGCCTACGTTAACGCTGCAATAACTAAATAACTACACCTTTACATAATGTTGTCCAAAGTGACTGGACGCACAGCGCCTTCTTTAGACATCGTAATATATGCTTGGTTGGTTGGTTGGTTGTTTAACGCCGCACTCAGCAATATTCCAGCTATATGACGGCGGTCTGTAAATGATCGAGTCTGGACCAGACAATCCAGTGATTAATATCATGAGCATCAATCCACGCAATTGGGATCGATAACATGCATCAACCAAGTCAGCGAGCCTGACCACCCGATCCCGTTAGTCGCCATCTACGACAAGCATAGTCGCCTGTTATGGCAAGCATGGGTTGCCGAAGACCTATTCTTCCCCGGATCTTAAGCATCAGACGGATTTAAATTTTTCATATTTTTTCTTTCTCATTTTATTTTAAGATGAGCTGTCAATGGTATAATGTTCCGAGTTTGAAGTACTAATTTTTAGTTGTTGCATCTGTCAACAGATTCACCAATCACATGTTCCTGAATTTCAAACTCGGCTAAATGTGTATTGTGAACTTCACTATAACCTCACGTATCTAGTATCACCGCGATGCCTATCAAGAAAACCGTCAACATCACCAAGCGACTTTATGTCATGATAGAAATAAACACTTGCTTGTTAAACATGCCTCAACAGCTATTACTCTATATCGCAGATCGGTGGAATTTAATCTGTTAAAAAAATGATTTATTCAAGGCGTACATACAGACGAGCTTCCATCCCATGTCCTCTATCAACTTAATAATCCCGCTAACCACCACCGCCCGCCCACGTCTCTTAAACACCTCATCTATTTTAATTTAAAAGGGGCAATTTTTCAATACAGTTACATTAACATTTCAGTTAAACCTGACGGCGAGGAACGATAGCCACTCAGAGCTCGAGTTGGTCTCATTAAGACAGAGAGCCCGTGTCAATCAAAACTTACTGTTAATGACCTATTGTGGTTCGCGCCTTTGCTGACTGTCGATATAGGGCATTGACGAAGGAGACTTAGAGAGGAAGTCGGAACCCTAGCATAGGTCTTCAGACTCAGCGAAAATGAAATTGACTTCCTGTCTTTGATATACTGCTGTGGTCGCTCGTGGATATAACGTTATTTCATATCGTCATGGCAAGGAACGCCAGAGGATTTATCGCCGCCAGTGTTTTCTTGTCTTTATTTCTGGCCATTCTTGCAAGACCGAAAGGTATGTAGTTTATTTACCTGTGTGATGTGTATTGAATTTGAAAATTTGAAATAATGATAACTAAGGAGACGTGTTAATGTTAATTTGTTGTTTAACGCCGCATTCAGCAATATTCCTGCTGTGTGACGGCGACCTGTGAATAATCAAGACTTGACCAGAGAATCCAGTGATTGATATTGTGAGCAAGATCCAAGCGATCGGGGTACGAAGACATACTTTCGGTCAAATCATCGAGCCTGACCAACCGATCTATTTTGTCATCTTTTAAATCCAGCATTGGTTGCTTGGGACCAATTCTAACCAGGAATCCCCATGGCGCGGTGATGTTCTTTGTTTGTTTGTTGTTTAACGCCGCACTCAGCAATTTTCAAGCTATATGACGGCGGTCTGTATATAATCGAGTCTGGGCCCTAAGGTAACAGTTGAGCCTATTTTAACAAATACGATTACTTCTATTTATTTCGATGCGACCTCTCAATTGAAAACGCATATTTTTAAATGTTTAGAGCATTTAAGTATCAGACAATGGATTTCTTCCGTTTTCCTTTTAAAAAGCTCTCTTATTCTCAAACTGTAAAGGTATCTGTGGGAAAATGTTTCATATATGACGTCGTTTATTTGATCACATTAAACTGAAACACTGGCGCAAAAGTTGCTGTTGCTAGCAATAACTTTACCGTTCCTTGTTTAAAGCGTGCATGTGAGAATACGAGGCGTTGAAACTCAGTCTGAGCAAAAATACAAGGTTTACTTCGGTACAACGTTCGTGTCCTTGCATCAAATTGTCATTATTTCAGCGGGTCGTGATTTTTTAGCTTCAAACTGAGAAGCATGTTTCATAACGTCCTTATCTGATTTCTTTTTACTCAATCTAGCCATCAATTTTAGTCCAAGTGCATTTTCTCATGCATGTAAATAAATTGAAAAAATGCCTCTTTCTTTTCCTGTTCCGTTAACTTTCGGACAAACGGTGACTCAACGAAGAGATCGTGTTTCGTTCCGAAGGAAATCAGTGTATTTCACCACCAGATCCTGGAGTAATTCTACAAACAATTGGAGCTGTGTGTTAACCGCTGATACCAGGAGGTTCGGGTTTCAATATAAACAGATGCACCTTTTGAGAAAAACCGGCAACGCCAATTAATCCACAACGAAGTTGTTGTGCAAGACCCTCCTTCTATATTTAACTTCACAGTCAGTTTTCACAAAACTTTCACACATAGACATATGTATTAGTAAAAGTATTGCGGTCTCTGATTTATATGTATATATATTTTTTTTAAAAAGGTCCGGTGATTGCGTTTCAATTAAGGCTGCATCGTAGTCTAGAGATTTGGTAATGGCGTCATCATTGGTGGTCTTTTGTGTATTTAATAGGCGGCGTGAGGTATTTGGAATGTAGTAAGCGATCGCAAAGAACTTAAGTGACAGATAATTAGCGCTCATCCTACAAAAAGACAAAGCCACACTTTCATTTTCTTAATCTCTAGAAAGTGTGTATCGGATCATCTTGGAACGCTGTTCTAAGTCTAGCCGGGAAATATGCACAGATATCTGCCAAAGTAGGTGTATCAAAACTTTTGAATTCATGAGAAGACCAGAGGGGCTATTCGTGCACCAGTAAACGCTTACAGCTCTAAAATATTTTTTTATTTTCCATTTCTTGTCAAGACTTTTTTCGAGATATAATGTAACGCAGCTTCTTTGGCAGAACGCTGACTTACACATAAAACACGCTGCGGTGCGTGCGTGCGTGCGTGAGTGCGTGGAATGGTGTGTGGAACTTAGCTTGCTATATAACGATTGTTGGGAGGGTGGGGATGTTAGCAACCCGTGTATCGAACATCAAAATTAATGTGCTGCTGAAAAGTGTGACATGTGACTAAAACGCCCCCATAACCAATCAGAAATCACCGTGCCATTACAAACCTTAACACATTATCTACAAGGCCATTCAACACATTGTCTACAAGGCCATTCAACACATTGTCTACAAGGCCATTCAACACATTGTCTACAAGGCGATTCAACACATTGTCTACAAGGCCATTCAACACATTGTCTACAAGGCCATTCAACACATTGTCTACAAGGCCATTTAACACATTGTCTACAAGGCTATTCAACACATTGTCTACAAGACCATACAACATATTACCTGCAAGGCTATCCAACACTTTATCTACAAGGCGATTCAACACATTGTCTACAAGGCTATTCAACACATTGTCTACAAGGCCATTCAACACATTGTCTACATGGCTATTCAACATGTTATATACAAGACTATTCAACACATAATCTGCATAGCTATCCAACACTTTATCTGCAAGGCTATTGAACACATTATCTACAAGGCTATTCAACACATTATCTACAAGGCTATTCAACACATTACCTACAAGGCTATATTCAACACATTGTCTACAAGGATATTCAACACATCACCTACATTTATTCATCACATTATCTTCAAGGCTATTCGACATATTGTCTATAAGAATATCCAACACATTACCTACAAGGCTATTTAACACATCGTCTATAAGGCTATTCAACACATTTTCTTTAAGGCTATTCAACTCATTATTTACAAGGCTATTCAACAAGTTATATACTCGTCTTGTCAACATGTTATCTACAAGGCTATCAACACATTGTATAAAAGGCTATTCAACACATTGTCTTTAAGGCTCTTTAACTCATTATTTTCAAGGCTATTCAACAAGTTATATACTCGTCTAGTCAACATGTTATCTACAAGGCTATCAACACATTGTATAAAAAGGCTATTCAACACATTGTCTTTAAGGCTCTTTAACTCATTATTTTCAAGGCTATTCAACAAGTTATATACTCGACTAGTCAACATGTTATCTACAAGGCTATTCAACACATTGTCTTTAAGGCTCTTTAACTCATTATTTTCAAGGCTATTCAACAAGTTATGTACTCGACTAGTCAACATGTTATCTACAAGACTAGTCAACACAAGGGTCGATTCTGGACGAGACAAACCAATGATTGACACTCTAACAACCATGTCAACCAGCCTGACCCCCCGATTCATTAAGCCGCCCCGACGAGCATCAACGAGCATCAACGAGCATCACAGGTTACTGGGGATCAATTCTAACCCGAATCCTACCGGGGTGGTAATGTTAGTAGACATATAAGGATGAGCGTTATCTAAAATAAACGGACCCTTTACTACGGAGACCTGTAAATAAATCAGTCTTTGACAGACAAACCAGTGGTTGATATTATGAACAACGTCCACGGATCGGGGTACGATAACGGGTAATCGACCCCGTGACCGAGACACTAACCACCCGTTTCCACAAACCACAGAGTGCCCCCCCCCCCCCCCCCCCCCCCCCTCCCCCCATCATACATTGCCTAAGTGATAGTAAATTCATTGATGCGGACAAATATAGGATCGAAAAACCTGAGATTTTCACACTGCACACTTCCACAAGAATGTATTTGACATTTACACCTTCTCTGTGAAACTGCACAAATAGAAAAGGAATATTCACAAACTATTTTTGTTACAAACGGATATGGAACGGAAAATGATTATTTGCCCAAAAGGATTTTTAGGGGACTGTTTTATTTCGATAAGAAACATTCTGACATCAATGACCACAGTTTGACAATGACCGTGTACTTGACTTGAGTAGGTCATTCCTCCCAGCCAGTCTCTTGTACTGGGCCCAAGGCGTGGCCATGCTGTAGAGCCTTAAATAAATGTGATCTCAAGTGTCTTGGGCTGTGATTTCCTAACAGTATATATTTATATGATGGAGAAAATATAACGTGTGCTTCATGAGACCCTCGGGTGTAAATTCGACAGATGGTCACAATATATGTAGGAGCAACAGCAGCAGCAGCAGCAGCAGCAGTAGCAGCATCACTACATGTCAAGGGAGTATACCCCCAAGGGTACACACGTACTTTTATGACTAAACCTTATCTACCATCCGCAGGATTTTCCTTTTCTATTCAATACATAAGTAGCAACACTATATTCACTGTTTATCATCTTTTCACCGCAACAGTAAACGGCTAGTTCTCACATGCTTTAAGTATATTATCGCTCAATCGAGTCTCCAGGTTTTGACCTACAACGAACTTTGACATGTGAGTGGAAGTGTTTTCTAACTGTGTGCGTGCGTGCGTGTGTATGTGTGATGTATGTGTATGTGTGGTGTGCGTGTGTATGTGTGGTGTGCGTATGTGTGGTGTCTGTGTGTATGTGTGGTGTCTGTGTGTGTATGTGTGGTGTGTGCGTGCGTTTGTATGTGTGGTGTGCGTGTGTATGCGTGGTGTGCGTGTGTATGTGTGGTGTGCGTGTGTATGTGTGGTGTGCGTGTGTATGTGTGGTGTGTGTATGTGTGGCGTGTGTATGTGTGGTGTGTGCGTGCGTGTGTATGTGATGTGTGTTTATGTGTGGTGTGTGCGTGCGTGTGTATGTGTGGTGTATGTGTGTGTAAGTGTGGTGTTCGTGTGTATGTGTAGTGTGTGTGTATATATATGGTGTGTGCGTGCGTGTGTATGTGTGGTGTCTGTGTGTGTATGTGTGTGTAAGTGTGGTGTGCGTGTGTATGTCTGGTGTGTGCGTGCGTGTGTATGTGTCGTATGCGTGTGTATGTGTGATGTGTATGTATGTGTGGTGTGTGCGTGTGTATGTGTGGTGTGCGTGTGTATGTGTGGCGTATGTGTGAGTTATCTTGGCCTCGGATAGAAAATTGTTTCCACTTTCCGAACGGAGCTTTCCCCGACGTTTTTTTCTGTGATAGCTTCTCAGACGTAGTGACATATTATTGCCCATCGATAGTTTGACCTTGTTGCAGACAGTTTTTAACTCATATATGTCAGCTGCCAAGTTGATAAAGTTAAGACGTCATTCTTAAAGCTTTAAAGTATGGCATTGGTTAAGGCATACTTTCCAGTGACACAGTGCCAATTATTGACATCCTTATTCGCACGGTCGTTAC